AATTTAAGCCTATTTCAATCTTTAGGATCCTCTTCGCCTTCCAAACTCTTCCTGTTGAAGTCCTTATAACTAACTTATAAGACCGATTTTCCTGTAGTTTCCCACTGGCTGGGTTTTGCTGATTTTATCCCGTTAGTGTCTCTGGAGTTATTTCTGTTAGCCATATTTCCTGAAAATTGATAAGTAAATCTCCAGATAGGCCATCTTTGGGGCAAACCTATCCTATGGATAGTGCTGGTTTCACTCGTGAGGGGCTCAACGTGACCTGCTCCTCTGCCTTTTTGTCATGCTAGTAGCAGTTCACTGTAGTCTAGATAGATCGCTTCATTGAAGTTTCAAAACAGAGATTGTTTTTTATTCATTTATTAGGCAGATGAAGGCTAAGAAGGAAATTATGAATTCATTTACGCATGTAATAATTTCTTAATTGCTTTAACAGGAATGAGAAAGTTCTAACTTCATTATTATTACTTATAGAAATTCACATATCATAGGTTTGATGGTCTCATTTACAAGTTTTCAAAAATAGTGAACTGATAATTTTTGAGAATAATGAGTTCTCTATAAATGACCAAATCGCTTTAAAAAATATACTTTAAATTTATTTATCTTTGAATATATCTATATATCTACTTACTTCTATCATATTTATCATCTATTGCTCACTCTATCATATCTAGAAATGAAAGAGAGAGATAAAGAGAGAGTGAGAGAGATCTGCCAACCACTTATTTACTTACCAAGTGCTGGCAAAACAGCTGATATTGGGACAGTATGAAGATAGAATCCAGGAAATTGAAGAACCTGGTAAGGCAAAAGATAATGGATGGCTCAAAGGCTTGGGCCCTGCGATCTACCTGGGAGATCACAATGAAACTCCTGTCTCCTGGCTTTGGCCTGGCCCAGCCTTGGCTGTTCTGGCCATTAAAGGAACAACACAAATGTAAATTCTCTCTCTCTCTCTCTCTCTCTCTCTCTCTCATTCTCTCTCCATCTCCTTCTCCCTTTCTATTTTTATGGTTTGGTCTTTCAAATAAATAAATCAATCTTATTAGGAGTTCATGGAAAAGTTAAATTGAAGGATAAATTTATTTTGCTGTCAAGCATTTTTAAAATGCATGCAATTTTTTAAATAATGTACATATTCTGTGAACTTTTAAAGATTTCTTCTATACCTGAATAGTATTCCATTGTATGGTTATCATGCTGTATTCCATTTTTTTTTTTGTAGTTTTACCTTTATGTACTTCCAAAATCTTTTGCTATCTAGGTAACTTTCTTGTTTTTATGCTATAGTAAATCCAGATTTTTAATATTTCTTTATATTACTTCTGTTTGCACACAGAACTGTTTATTTCGTATTTTTTATTTAGAGTTTTGTTCCAGTGGTTTTTTTATTGAATATTTTGGTTTTGCAACATATCACTTGTAAATAAGTACATTTTTACCTCTTTATTTCCAAATTATATGCCTTTAGGTATTTTTCTCTTTGCTAAATATGCTTGGAAACTATTGTGGAAATAATGGGCATGGTCTTCTTATTTATCTTTTCAATATAGCTTCCAGTAACTGCAATCATGAAGTAAAACTTGGCTTTTGATTTCTTGTCTGAGATACACACATATAAACACAGACAGACACACACACACAAACACATTGGGTTCAGGAAGCATGTGCCAGTCATTTTTTTTTGTTACTTTTGCAAAGAAATAAATGGATGCTAGATTTTGCTCTGTTTTTTCTTTCATTTTTAGATATAATTGAATTCTTTTTATACACATTTCTGTAATGCGTTGGATTATATTAATGAAAATCCTAGCACCACATTGTAATAAAGCCCATCTGATCATGATAGGATTTTAAAATACCATCATGTTCTATTTACTAGCATGTAAGATAAATTTCATCTTTGCCCTGTTAAACACATTGTGTATGATTAGGAATCAATATTTTACTTACATCAGCAATGAATTAGTAAATTCTATATTTTTAATGATGCTCTGAAAAGGTAAAATAATATCAGGTTTATTAGCTACTTCAGGGCTTAGTAAGCTTCTTTTAAAGTACTTGGATTTTGTTCTTTCTTTTAGTAAGCTGAATCATGTGTAAGCTGACAAATGACATCTTATGAATCAATTATAGCTTGTATTCCTTTTACATGTTTCTATGGAGCTTGGTCTTTCTACTGTTTACTTTTTGCACATTGTGTTTGGTGTTGCATTAAATCTGTGGTTATAAAATGAATGTTAAATGTGCTATTGTAGAAATTAAAAGGAAAAAAGAGGATATTTATGAATAACAGGGAGGGTGGATTATGACTATCTTCTTAGAATTTTATCTTTGAAATAAATGAAATCTGCTCTCTTTCTATTAATGGTGAAAAAAGTAGAAACAAATATGTTAGGATTGAGTCTGTCTTCTTTGTGTTAAATGTTTATAAATTGTATTTTTCTAAACATCTGTTGATTTTTAAAATTTATGTATATGTTGTTGAATAAAATAATTTCCTGTTCTTTCCTTAAACATTCCTGTGTTTAATGGCTGTTTAATGTTACAATTTCAAAGTTTGCAAATTTGCTTTCTACTCATTTCTTAGTTTTACCAAACTTATCCTAATAATAATATAAGGAACAGCAAGACTTGCATTTATTTGTTATATCTAGTGCAATACTAACTTACTGATTTTAGCGTTTGCCATTGTTTTCCGTCTTTCTTACTTTACTTCGGTGTTCTTTCTGGTTTTTGAATGTTTGCATCCTTTTGATTACAAAAATCTCGGCTTTTCTCCATTGTCTTTGCCTGTACTATTATATTTCATCATCATTACTTTTACTAAAGCATGTGATTTCATTCCGTATGAACATTCTTGATTGAATAGTTAATCAGTTGACATTGTGGTATAGCGAGTAAAGCTATGGCCTGTGATGTCAGCATGCCACATATGCACCGAATGAAGTCACGCCTGCTCTCTCTCTGATTCAGTGCCCTGCTAATGCACCAAGGGCCTGGAAGCCAATGTGGCAGACTTGGTTGAAGCTCGTGGCTCCTGGCTTTTAGCACAGACTGTTGTGGCCAGCTGGGGAGTGAACCAGCAGGTAGAAGACCTTTCTCTCAGTCTACTTTGGCATTTTAATAAGTAAAGTGGATCTTGAAAAAAAAAAATCCCAAACAATCAGTGTGTGGTTTACATATTCCAGGTGAGAAAACCTTTTTGTTTTTCTTTAATTTCTACTTTTATTATACATTAGTTACTGAATGCTTTGGTAATTTATGTTTTATAGAATTTTATAAAATTTGGTTGGAAAATTAAGATATGCTAATTTTTAAGAATACTTGCTGAAGGTGTGTGGTACAGCACTAAGACATAGCCCTGGACAACAATATGTCATACCAGAGTTTGTAATTTAGAATTTGATTAGACTTATAATTCAGTTTCCTGCCTATTGTCGGGGGCTTGGGGGTAGTAAAATAGGAATCAAATACTTCTACCATCTGGTGGAGTGAATACTTTTATCACACACTTCTATTACCTGTTAGCTTCAACCTGGCCCATTTGTGGCTGTTGGAGAAATTTGGAGAATTAGCAAATTAAAAAAATTCTCTGTTTTTGTTTTTTGAATATTTAGTACTTATTTGAAACAAAGATGCACAGAGAAAAGGAGTGAGAGAGATTAATTAATCAATTGATAGATCTTCCATTCGCTGGTACAATCCCAAAATGTCTGCAATGACTGGCTGAGTCTCATTTCTCCATGAAGATTTAAAATATAATTTATCATTGATTTTTGAAAATCAGTAAAAATACCTGCACTATTAAAATGTTTTTCCTGTACTTCCTAGTGTTTCACACACACACACACACACACACACACACACACACACACACACACACACACATTTTCATCTCATTTAGATTGGAACAAGCATGTAAGGGGTAAATGAAGCCCTAGATCATGAATTTCTTCGGATGACTGGCTCAGGAGCTTGACACATTACAAATAATGAGTTTCATTTTATACAAAGTTTTTTTCCCCCCCCCATAAGTGATTATCTTGATAGCGAAAAAAGGATGCATTCATGATAAAAGAGTGATGGAATTCTGGAGGTAGAGATAATGAGCAATTGTACAAGGAACAAATGTGAAAACAATCGTGCTGAGTTGAGAAAGCCTTCATGGCAGAAATCATTCTGGAGACATTTAAAACAAAAAGCCAACTAGGATTTAAAGAAATTAGAAAGAAATTCAAAATTCACAGTAAGTAAAATTTATTCTAGTACATTTCTCAGTTACCTAGGTATGCTCTGCCATTCCCAATACGGAGCCTGAAGCAGAGATAGTGAGGAAGTAAAAATTACATCACTTTTTGAATTACTGCTTTAATTACTGAAGGTGACTCAATGATAAAAGTTGATATATTTACTGCAATTCTGTTATAACAATAAACAATGCACAAAGCACTTTCCTTTGATATTCTCAAATTATTTCTGTTGTACATATACTTGTTTTAATGGGTAAGTAATCTGGCAAGATTTGAGGATCAGACACCTGCCAAGAAATGAGCAAAATTTGACTTAAAATCGGTATGCTGATTCCAAGTCTTGAGAGCTCTTAAGAAATGAATTTAACTAACATTATTGCAAAGTTTTGCATTAAAGGTTTTGGTTGCCTCTATCAATTGACTGGAGCATTTGTTCTATCAAACAGTTTCCCTGTCACCTCATAAATACAATATTGTCTTATAAATGTTTCATAATCTGCCTATGACATGATCTTCATCATGAAACAGTGTGGCAAAAAAAATTAATGTGTACTATAGCAATCATTTTGATTCCTAAACAATTATTTCCATATCATACCTACTAAGTCAAAGCTAAAGTTAGCTAATGCACTGTTAAATCTGCATAGATTTGTGATTTGTACTGTATTTCTGTGTGGGGTTCTTTTTGCAATTCAGTAAGGAAGACCTAGAGAGTGACAACGCCTCCAGGATTTCACTTACCTTTGTTTACCTTTATGATCTCCAGAGCCAGCTGAGAGTCTGTCAAGGGGAGACCCAAAGCCAGAGAAACTCCTTTTCTTCTTTGTCTCAATCACATCGTTCTCCAGGGACACAAGCTCGTCAAGAAGCAAGAGCTTTGCTGCCAGATCAGTGGCTGATTTCACCTCCCTCTCTGTGGGGAGGAACTGCGTGTTTGTGAATCCAGAATCCAGGACCTAGAAAGCAGAGAAAGCTGAATCCATCCTTTTGCAGAAAAAAAAAAATCAAGCATGTCTAGTCATTTGCATTTGCTTTTGCTGCCTTTATGTGAAAAGCTCATCACAGAATGTTTTATAATTTTTCATGGAGACATGTTACAGAGAAAAAGCAGACTGGGAATTGAATATTGTGGTGGTGATGGGGGATGGGGAGCAGGCTGTGTATCTTAGAAAAAGTCAAACAGAATAAAAATCAAAGCAGCAACAACAAAGAAACAAGAAAGGAGAAAAAAAAAGAAAAATTAAGCATGTTTACTGATTATTATTTCAAATGTTCCCAGTCACTATTAACTTCATTCCTCTTTTTCGTTCGTAGAGTGTTTCATTCATCCATTTGTGGTCATTGCCCTTACTACATTTTACCTTGTTTTATATTATAACAAACTTTTTTCTTTTCTTATTAAATCATGAGTCACTTCAGGTAATAACTTTTTATTTGCCCTCATGCCCAGCCCAGAATTTTGCTGAGTTGATATTCAGTCCATTTTTTATATTTATATTGAATGAATTATGAAAAATAATGTCATGCTATCTTCTGTTCACTGCTTGTTCAGAATATATTATAGAGAGTCACAGAGGATTCACCGTGCCCTAGGTTTTACAATGGACTCAAGGGATAGAAAAGGAACAAAATTCCATCTCTGTGCCCGGGAAGATGTCCTCTGTACATATGACTTATGGACAGATGCAACTTCAAGGTGTCAGGGCTTTCCCATAACATTATTGTCCCACGGAGACGTTCTGATTTAATAACTGCACACAGATGTACTTGTACTCTATGCAAGTCATGAAGATACAGATTCTAGTTTGTGACGCATGCTTGTTTCCTTTCAGGCCCAAATCAAACATTTTTTCATGCTTCTCAGTACTTGCTCAATTCAGTGAATGCAACTTAATCTCTCATAACTTGTACCTTGTAGTTCCCTCTTTCGTGTGTAACCCTGAAAACAGTCATGGCATTAGTTATCTCCAGCATTATTTTCATTGTATAGAAGGAAAATTAAAAGCCTTTTGTTTCGCTTTGTTGCTATTTTTTTTATTTTTGTTTTTGTTTTTTTTTTTAAGATTTATTTTTATGTTTTTATTGGAAAGGCAGATATACAGAGAGGAGAGACAGAGAGGAAGATCTTCCGTCCAATGATTCACTCCCCAAGTGAACGCAATGGGCCAATACTATGCCGATCCAAAGCCAGGAGCCTCTTCCGGGTCTCCCACGCGGGTGCAGGTTCCCAAAACCTTGGGCCGTCCTCGACTGCTTTCCCAGGCCACAGGCAGGGAGCTGGAAGGGAAGTGGGGCTGCTGGGACTAGAACCAGCGCCCATATGGGATCCCGGGCGTGCAAGGCGAGGACCTTTAACCACTTGCGCCACCGCGCCGGGCCCGCTTTGTTGCTATTTTAACTTCTGTTCCTTCCCTACATAGGCCCAACGACACAGGAAAAAAAAAAAAAAAGCAAAAACAAAAACCAGAAGGGAAGAATTTCTTAGTCACAAAGACAAAACTCTAGAGAACAAGAGAAAAGCCTTCAAAGAGGAAAGTGCCTTTAATTATCTCCCAAGACATTTCCCCAAAATAAAACAGACAAAAAAGCACTTTTTCCTGCTAACCTGCACACGTATTGAGGTTTGCTTCTTTTAAGATATTTTTTCTTCATAATGATTTTATTCTGTTTTGCCCAAAAGCATAGTTTCAGAGACAACAGGAGAGAGAGAGAGACAGAGACAGAGACACAGAGAGAGAGACTCCATCCACTGGTTTACTCTTAAAGTGGCTGCAAGAAGCAGAACTGGTACAATCTGAAATCAGGAACTAGAAGCTTCTTTGGATTTTCCTACAGAGGTCCAGGAGCTCAAAAATCTGGGCCAGCTTCCACTGCTTTCTCAGGCCATTAACAGGGAGCTGGATCAGAAATGCAGCATCCAGTACATGAACTGTCTCTAGCATGGGATCCTTGCACCACAGGCACAGACTTAGAATGCTGCACTACAATGCTGGCCCCTAAGAGACTCTTAGAAAAGGAAAAACAAATTTAGGGAGGTAGTTACTGATATGATATCTGGGATTCTGCATGGGATATTTGTCTTACATTTGAGTGCCTGAGTTTCAGTCTCAGCTCCGCTTTCAATTCAAATTTCCTGTCAATGTGCACACTGGCATTCAGCAGGCACTTGATTCCTGATATTAATGGTGAAATTGGAGAGTTTGAAAATCCTGGACTCGGCTCTGGCCATCGTTAAGGCATGAATCAGCGATAGAAATCCTCTACTTTCTCTCTTGCTGACTTTCAAAATCAAAACTAAACTAAACTAAACTAAAAAGCAAACAAATAAAACACAAATAGAACTATTCTTTTTGAAATGTATTCAGGGTTCTTTATGGTATCTAAGCATACACAGAACACATATTTCTAATAAAGTCAAATCACTGAATTAACTGTTTTCTGACTTGAGTTTTCTTTATTCCTTTGTTACAGTCTCTAGAATAGGCATTATATAAAAATATTGGCCCAAAATACTGAAAATTTTGCATGATATTTACCTTAAATTTCATGCAAAAATAACTCTTACTGTTGTTACTGATTTTTTTTTCAAGAAAGACAAATCTGTGTGCATTTTTTAACGTTCAGCTAAATGGGTTACCCCCAAAGCACTGGAAAGATAACAACAGTTATTATCATCTTTATTTTCATTGTATGTCCTCTTGAATGTCAGGTTTACAATAAAATATTAAAACACACTAATTTGTCTATTTTCGTGTTGTCATAGGGTTTTCCTATTTGTCCTGTGCACATGCTTCTTATTCTGGAAGAAATGACTTACATTGGTTTCTGTTACCTCTGTTGGTACATCCAACGAGAGCACATTTCCTGAGATCCACAGCAACAACATCACAGCCAGGGTGACACGTACAGATGTCAGTTTCCAGTCCAGCATCTAAGGGTTTCGTACATTAGTGTTAGCCTTAGCTCAAATATAAAATTGAAACAAATGTTCTTATAGATACTGTTTGAAGGATATGAGAAGACAAATTATTCATCTTTATAGGCTCTGAAGTGCATCTGTACAAAATGTAAATAATAAGTAATGGAAGTTGTCCATCTCCCAGAGTGAATTCTCATGGAATCCAACGGTGGAGTAATACAGGTATAATAGTAAGTTATTTCAAACTGACCCACAATCTGAGAAATCCATGCAGCTTCTATCCTTTCTCTGATAGAGCTCACTCTCATATACCTAAGGAGAAATAAGGAAAATTGGCAAGGTGTAAGAGAAGGTGCGTGGTGAGCCACGGGGATGTGGTGCATCTAAAGTAAATTAAACATGGAAAACATTGCACACCCAATAGGAAGATATTTTTGTTTTTAAAAATGTGTTTATTTATTTTAAAGGCAAATAATGAGAATGAGTGAGCCAGAAGTCTTTCATCCACTGGCTCACTCTCCAAATATCCACAAGGTCAAGTGTGAACCAGACCAAAGCTGGAAGCCTAGGACTCCATTTGTGTCTCCCACATGGGGGAAAAGGACTCAAGTATTTCAGCCATATTTCACTCTTTTCACAGCACATTACCAAGGAGTTAGATTATGAACGAAGCATCTAGAACTAATATAGGTTCTTCTCTATCAGTTTTCAGCATTACATGTGGCAATTTAGCTCTATTGTACTACCATTGAGTTCCCAGGAAGATATCTTTATGTTCTTGTGTAATATGAACATTTCTTCCGTAAGAATAAAAACATGGATAGATCCTAAAATGAAAAAATTCTTCATGGATAGATACAATAACCAAATCAGGATTGATGTTTGGCCTAGTGGCTAAGATGTTGCATGGATTGCCTGCATCCTGTGCTGAATTCCCTGATTTGCTTAGGCTCTGCTTTCTGCCTCCTGCTAATGTGCACCACGGAAAGCAAGAAGCTGATGGCCCAGTACTGAACAAAACTCACAAGATGTGGGCTAAAACAAAGTAGGCTTGAATACTTTGCCAGTTAGCGTTTGGCCAAGGAAGTTCTAACGTGTCCACCTCTTTTGAAAGAACAATCTTAGCCAACACGTATTTCTTAGTATCAGTCACTTTACAAAACTTGCTGGGGGGCATAGGAATGTTGAAATGAAATTTGAAGAGTTGAACTCCAGTTTTATCTTTGTTTATTGTTAGTATGATCTTGGATATGTATAAATTACTGCACTTAAGCTTCTTTTTCTTTATTTTATACTATTTACAGTAATCCTACCTCAAACCAACACTGAAGAGATTGAATTGATTAAAATATAATCCTTTTATCTCACATAATATTTATACATTACACATAAAGAAATACTGAGATATTACCAAATATTTATTGATCTATTTTGATTTGGTGTGATTTAGATTTTTTTCTATGACACTTTTTAAAATAATTTTACCCTGAAGCCTCAATGCTGGTTTTATTAGCGAATATTATAAATTAAAATAAGAGCAACTAGATGTTTTAGATTGAACTTAAAATGGAAATGAAAATGTTTTAGCATTACCTATAGTGATTATTTATCAAATGTAAGCCCAGTTTCCATGTAATGTAGCTCACTATGACGTCAATTAGTTTGCTTGGGAATCTTATTACATAAGGCTAGTCCATATATATTGCTTTGTATTCTGTCTTTCCCAATAAATGAGCAATAAATTATTTTTTGTTCTCTTTTGTCAAAACATATATCCAAACTAAATACAAGAAAAGTATAGCTAGGTCTCTAACCTGAGAAAATCCACATATTGCAAAGAGGAATGCCACATTTATGTTGTGAGAACTGCAACCAAAGATTTCATTAGCTGTTTCTTTACAAAATTAGGCACTGATCATTTTATTTATTCCAAGTTTGCTGATATTTCCTTGACTTTTTTTCACACAAAGTTCTATATACTAAAAACATATCTATTTAAAAAAATTTCTTGTTAGTGATATTACTTTCATTTTTTCATTTTTAAGCCTCTTTCATATTTAATCAAAGTAAATCTCCAACTGTGATATTTTCTCCATTTCTCGTTTTTTCTTATGCTAAAAATAGTTTGCAAAGCATAAAACTGAACAGTTTTATAAGCTTTTTTATACAAACTTCCTTTATTTTTTGCATATTTACTAACCACATTTCTCTGCACTGAATGATGGATATTTAAAATATTGGCGATTATGTCCGAGGTATATATTTTTGTGCTCTGGTGTGCATAGGAAAAAAGTCATCATGCATCCTATTACAGATAACCACATCCTGATTATTTGGATAGAGTGACTTAAAAATAAATGCTGAGTTAAATACACAAATTTAATGGCTTAAAGCCATGCTTGTCGCCAGTTAACCAAAAGGCCAAGTTCCTAAATATGGCATTAGGTACACAAATTAAAACAAGCACTCCGGCACCTGCCACACAAAAGACGTTTGATTAACTAGCTGAAACTTGATTGCTGTAAAATTAGAAACATGGGAAATTATAGGAATGAAAGAAAAAGACTAGGTTCAACCATATTTCCGTATTTTCTTGATAGTAGATAAATATAGCTAAGATAAATATAGCTAATATATCTTTTAAAAGATCTCTTTGGTATCACGCATAGTCTGGGTCACAGAAAGGGTACTCAAAAGGTGTTCATTGACCATGTCAATACACTAAGGTGAATGTGTTTGCAAGTTCTGCATAACATCAACCATTTTATGTTTAGCATTTTTCTTTTAGTTGGAAAGGCAGATTTACAGAGAAAAGGTGAGACAGAGAGAAAGCTCTTCCAATTCACTGGTTCACTGCCCAAATGGCACAATGGCCAGAACTGAGCTGAACAGAACCCAGAAGCCAGGAGCTTCTTTCAGCTCTCCAATGTGAGTGCAGAGATCCCAAGGATTTGGGCCATTCTCTACTGCTGTCCCAGGCTGCAAGCAGAGAGCTGGACAGGAAGTGGAGCAGCCAGGACACACAGTGGTGTCCATATGGGATCCCAGCTGCTGCAAGATGAGGACTTAGCCATTAGGCTATCACACTGGGCTCTGTTGAATAATTTTTGAACAATGATCCTCAGAATACTGAATTCTTTCTAGAGACAGTGAACACAGAATATAATTAAGAAGAGTCAATGTGTGCTTCATTCAGTTTTAACCAATGGGAATAATATGTTTTCAACTTTCAAATGACAATTCCTTAATAAGTACACCTGCAACATAATGCAGCGATGAGAACAGATAGTATCTGGAATGGATTCTTCAGTGGATGGCTGGAATGGTGGGGAGTGGATCAAGGTGAGGATGAATGTAGTTCAAGTTCTGTTTTTTCTTTTTTATTTATTTATGTGAAAGGCAGAGTTACAGAGGAGAGAGAGAGAGAGAGAGAGAAATGGAGAGGAAGAGAGGTCTTACATCTGCTGGTTCCTCAACAGCATGGTAGGCTAAATCAGGAGCTGCAACAGGGGCCCAAGCACTGATACTCATCTGCAATGACTTCCCAGGTACATCAGCAGGAAACTGGATCATGAATGGAGCATTCAGATCCCATCCAGTGCCCACATGGGATGTCAGCGGTGCAAGCTGTGGCTTAATCCACTATGCCACAATGATAGCCAACACATTTTGTCAATGAAATTTGGGATCACATCTATTGTGTTTTTTCCTCTTTGCAACAGAAGTTCCTATCGACAAGCTGCTGTGAAAGTTCAGCTTCAAACAAACTGATTCAGTCATACCTAGAGCTCAATCAGCAGCCTCTTGAAATGAAGATATATGCCTTAAGAATCAGTGTGATAACGAAGCATTGCAAATGTGAACAAAACCTCTCTTGATTGGGCTGTGACAGACAACAAAACCACTGAGAACCACTGTTTGAAAAATGAGAGAATGTTTTAGAATTAAGGCAGGTGTTAGAAGTGATTAGGTTGTAAAAGAAAAAACAATTTGAGCTAGTGTTGGAGTTAATGTATTTTTAAACTGATAACATTTTTACACATTATTTGAAGGCTGGCATAAAAAAAAAAGCCGGTGTTGGTAGAAAGAAAAAAAAATCCTAGTTTTTGTGCTCTCCAGTGGGAGTGGTAACCCAAGAGGGAGGAGCTCACTATTTCCCTCCCGGGCCACTCCCACTCCCAGATTATGCTCTCTACAGGTGATTCTGTGATTTAACTTGACAGCATTAGCCCCTAGTGCCAGCTTCTGCCAGCTTCTGCCAGCTGATGCTGCAGCCAAGCCCAACCAACCCTCACCCACTGTAATTTTAGTTTTCACCAGTAGGAACAATCAACCCAGCCTGGTTTTTCCCTGATCTAGTCCACACAGGTCTTGTAGCCCTGCTTAGTCTGGTCTGCTCCAATCCCAGCTCATGCTCTCCAGTGGGAGTAGCTGTCCAGCAGGGGAACCTCCCCCAAAAATCCCCCTGACGGTTCCGCCCCCTCCATTCCTTGTTCTCACGTGTGCTGGTTGGGCACTGCGGTCACATCCGGTACAGGTAACCTCACCTTGGCATTCTGAAATGTGCACTGGTTTTTGTCGCTACTGAACCTGGCTCGACCAAACTCCTTCCTTTCTACGACAAGCAAAACTGAGTTGATCTAAGTGACCGCTAATGTTGCTTTTATCTTTCCAAGTCCATTGGTGAGAATCATAGCAGTTTGGTAACATCAGCACATCCCATTTCAGAGTGGAAGTTTCTCTTCTACCTCTTTTGCTTTCCAATCTGACTCAGTGCTAATGTATTTAGGAAGCAATGGGTGATCATGCAAGTACTTAAGTCCATGACACACAAATGGGAGATCCAAAAAGAATATCAATCTCCTGAATTTAACCTGGCCCACAGAAGCCTATTCCAGTTATTTGGGCAGTAAACTAGTGGGTAGATATCTTCCTCTTGGTCGCTCTTCCTTTCAGATGAAAAAAGGATGTCTTTTAAAAAAAGTAAGTTGGTAAAGTGACTCATTTTTGAA